CTTTGGTTTTCAACTGGACATTTGGACGAAAACCGGCTTCTGATGGAATGGGGCATTTGATTAAAAAAGAAAAAAAGGAAGAAGAGATAAGAGATAGACCTAATTGGAATAGGGAGGGTCTGAGGCAGAGGTAAGGCAGAAAGGCCTAGAAATCACAAAGGAGGAGGGTATGTAGACTCTGGACAAAGGGGCCAGGAAAATAGGAAGAAGAGCCATGCGGGGTGCGGGGTGCAGTCACGGGCGCAGGCAGGTAGAGGAGTTGGTGTCAGGGGCCCGTCTCCCTTGGCTAGCAGCTGTGTGACCTTAGGCAGCCGACCAACCTCTCTGAGCCTCACCCTGGACAGAAAAGTATGGCTGCAAACAGGCTGGGGTTTGCCTACTGGCCCCAGAAGACAATCTGAAAGACGGGAAGTGGGACAGGGCAGAAGCCCAGCAGGGACTCAGCCAGTGGAAGCCACCTGTCCCCCAGGGCAGGGGACAGAGCCCAAGAAACTCTTAGAAGGAGGAACTTTGCGTGATGTTGGCTTCCCGGCAAACGCGAGATGCCAGCTCTGGGAGAGGGCTGAGAACGTGGAGCGAACAGAGAGCATGGAGCTGGGGCCAGCCGGGCGGGATGGGGAGGAGGCCCGGGGCCCCAGCCGGTGCAGCGGCCTCACCGTCAGGCCCGCCAGGAATCGGTGAGGGCGAGGTGAGAGGCATCGCCCAGCCAGGCTCCGGGCAGCCGCCCTGCCCTTCCCCAGAGCCCTGTTCCTGATTTCCTTCATGGCTGAGGTTTTTCACGGGTGGTGGTGGTGCGGGGGTACCAGAAAAAGAGAGGCCCACTGAGGCCAGACAGGCCCCGCATCCCCCAGGAGAAGAGAGGCTGACGATTCAAGGTCCCCATCCAGTCCTGCCATGTTTTCGGGCCAAGGCAGAAAGCGGAGGGGAAAGCGTGGGGCAAAGCATGACCCTGGCATGGTCCACACTTGGCACTTCCCAGCCCCTCCTGGCTCGGGACTTCTGGTCCCCCCACCCCCCACCATTCTGCGCCACTGGAGCCAAGCCCCCTCATGCAGAGGCCACAGTGCTTTTCAGCCCCACCTCTGGGCCACACATGATCTCATGTAAGCCGTGTAACACCCTGGTGAGCCCCAATTTACAGTGGGGGAAACTGAGGCACAGAGCAGTTACGTGATCTTTTCTGGGTTTCACAGCCAGTGAGCAGCAGAAATGGGTTTCAAAACAGGTCTGTGAGCGGGCAGAGTTTCTGCTTCTACCCATCAGGTGGCCGTCCCATTCTGACTCAAGGGACGCCCTTTTTCTTCGTGACCCAAATCCCTGACAGTTGGAGAAGCCCCCTGTGAGTCAATTCTGCCATAAAAGAGGCTGCAAATTGCCGGCACTCCCCGAAGACTCTCTCTTGACGCCAGTCAGCTCGACCTCCCCTGCTGCTGGGAGGCCTGTGGACTCCTCAGTGCCCAGCCCGGCTCAGTCTGGCTCCAACGGGGCATTGGCAAAGTCTCCCTGCAGTAAACAAGTCCCAGGCTGACCACAGGTGCCAGCCTAAATCAACTTTCTTCAGCCCTGGAGGAAACACCTCATTCTCCCCAAGCTCTGCGCCTAACATCGGTCAGCAAGTCCTAGGCACGGGAGGAGAGGGTATCCATCATTCAGTCCCAAAAGCCACCAGTGCAAAGAAATACTCTCTTCTCCGAGCTGGTTTCTGGACCAGACAACCCAGGAGATTAGAGCCACAAACCGACAGGCCCTCTGCCAAGCTGGAATCTCAAACTCAATTAGCTTGGGATTGTCTGGAATCTTCAATTGTTCTAATGTTCGAGCTTAAAGCAACTGAGTTTGGAGAGAGTGAGCCTCAGGACAACAGGATGCTGCTCTGGTGAAACAGGGCAGCCTTGGACCACCCAGAAAATTGGGTGGGATCTTCAAGACCCCGCAGAGCGTCCAGACTCCCTCCGGCCACTCCCCGCTTCCGCCCACCACACTAGACACCCCTGGCTCATCAAGCCTCCAAATCTCTGCTCATGCTGCTCTCGCCACCTGAAATATCTTTTATTTCTGGCCAACTTCTGCTCCAGCCAACTAGAGGCCTTCTCCAAAGCCAACTCATCCTTGGAGCCAGCTCAAATCCGCACTTTCTTCTCGAGGTGCTATTTCCGGACTTCCCCAGCAAAGCTCTTTACCCCTGTAGTACTTTGCACACTGAATGTATTTAACGATACACTTTCAGGGCGCCTGGGTGGCTCAGTTGGTTGAGTGCTCAGCTCTTGGTATCGGCTCAGGTTGTGGGATTGAGCCCCAAGTCAGGCTCCGTGCTCAGCGCAGAGTCTGCTTGTCCCTCTCTCTCTGTTCCTCTCCCCATTAGTGCTCTCTCTCAAAAAGATAAATAAATAAAATTTGTAAAAACACAAAAAAACAAAAAACCCCCCGACAATATGCTTTCAATCAAACGGCCAGGGTTCACCTACTGTAATGAACGGATGATGGAGGAAAATGTCTTGGGTGATCATGACCCAGAAGCAATTGGGCCCGTGTGCCCGGCCATTAAAGCCAACTTTCCAGCTAGAGGGACCCCCACTCTGTTGACACACTTGTCTTCCCACGTGACTGGGAGCCCCCTGAGGGCAGGGCTGGTCTCTCCCTGGATCCCACACTCCTGGCACACAGTAGGTGCTCAGTAATTCCTGGTGGGGGGGGCACGGAGGCTCTGTCTTGACTCTCTCACTACCTTCATGGGCTCCTTTAGACAAGTCCCTCTCCCTTTCTCAAGCTTGTTTCTCCATCTGAGAAGTGAAAGGGTGGACTAACCCATACTCAGAGCTATGGTCAGAATGTTTGTGCCCCCCCTGCACCCCAATTCATATGTTGATGTCCTAATTCCCAATGTGACAGTGTTGGGAGGCGGGGTCTTTGGGAGGTGAGGTCATGAGGGTGGAGCCTTCACGAGTGGAATTAGTGCTCTTATAAAAGAGACCCAAGGGCGCCTGGGTGGCTCGTCGTTAAGCGTCTGCCTTCGGCTCAGGTCATGATCCCAGGGTCCTGGGATCGAGCCCCGCATCGGGCTCCCTGCTCCGCGGGAAGCCTGCTTCTCCCTCTCTCACTCCCCCTGCTTGTGTTCCCTCTCTCGCTGTCTCTGTCTGTCAAATAAATAAATAAAACCTTTAAAAAATAAATAAATAAATAAATAAATAATAAAAGAGACCCAAGAGAGCTCCCTAACCCCTTCCACTGTTGTGAAGACACAGCGAGAGGTCAGCCATCTGCAGCCCAGAAGAACCTGAGCATGTCTGCGCCCTGACCCTGGACTTCCAGCCTCCAGAACTATGAATGAGGAGTTTCTGCCATTTACAAGCCACCCAGTCTCTGGTAGTTTGTGAGAGCAGCCCCAACAGACTAAGACACTCAGGAATGACACATGATTATCTCAGATGACCATTGTCATCCATTGAATTTTAAGGTCAAATGTGGTCGATAGCTTGTCATCACTGATGGGCCCTAATATCACCTCCTTCCCACAGATGCACGTCACTCCCCCCATCAAGAGGTGGACTCTCTTGCTTTTCCCTTTGAGTCTGGGCTGGGCTGGTAACATGCTGTGACCAACGGAATGTGGCAGAAGTGATGCTTGCTAACCCCAGGCCTAGATCTCAAGAGGCCTGGTCACTCTCCCAGAGCCCTGGGCCTCCAGGGAGAGAAGTCCAGGGAGTGCTGCCACGTGGGGAGAGGCAGCGTGCGTGCCAGCAAGACATGAGGCCATCTTAACTGGCCCCGCCCTGGTCAAGCTCCTTGCTGAATGCAGCCCATGAGTGATCTGACGGATACCACGTGGAACAAACATGGACCATCTCTGCAGAACTCTGCCCGGCTACAGAAATGTGAACAAAGAAGTCATTTCAAGCCACCACATTTTGGAGTGGTTTGAACCACAGAGATAAATATTTGAAACAGATTCCTGTCTGCCGTGGCTTGTGAGTGAGGAGTGTTGGAGCTCCATCCCTGGACTAGACAATGTCAAGTTCAATGTCAATTCGATTCAATGTCAGTTCAAGATTTTTCTTGGGTCTACTGGATAGGAAGGTACCAGACTGAGAGGGGATTAATCTATCAGAAGAAAGCAGAACCCCACTGGGACTAAATGAATCCAGTGGGCCCACTTGGGCTGTTTCAAAAGACAACTCAGAGAGGGTGGAGCAATCAGGAGCAGAGCTAGAAACAGAAACAGACAGAATTGGAGGAAACAGCCCCATGGTAGAACAGGGAGCTGCAGGGTCTTGCAGCAAGGGGATGAGATAGCCCCTCCCTGGAGCCATCTCAGAGCCTGAGAACCTTCTAGTTGAACACAAGTCTGGCTGGGCATCTGGTACCACCCTCCCACAACTCAAGTGTGAGTTGGCACACACATTCCCAACAATGAACCCCCTTTCTTTGAGGGTACCCACAGCCCATGAGCCAGGCTAGCACTTCTCCCCAGCACGGGGCAGAAACAGAAGGGTTCTCCTGTCTAAAAATCACCAGGGCCTGATGTAGAGGCCCAACCACCAGGAGGATCACTAGTTCATGTTGAGTCCTTTACCAGGTTCTAGACACCATGCTCTACACTCAACTTGGGCACCTTCATTTCTTCCTAACCACCACCCTTATCAAAGGCAGATTGCCATCCCATTTCACAGATGAGAAGACTCACTTGCTCAGAGCCACAGGGTTTGTGGGTAGTGGAGCAGGAATTTGAATGCAGCCTGAATGACGCCAAAGCCCAGAGACTCGGTCAGGCTTGATGGTCACCCATACACCCCAGGACAGTCTCGTGGGTGGCTGACACTCACATTGGTTCTGACTGGTCAAATGCCCTGCTGAGCCAGCTGTCACTACGATGGCAGCCATCTGAACTCTCAATTTCCAAACTCAGGAAACAGACACAGATCAGTGTTCGAGATGTCTCCTACTGTGGTAGGCAGAATAATGCCTGCCCATGTCCTAACCCCCAGAACCTGAGAATACGTTACCTGACATGGCAAAACGGACGCTGCAGCTGGGATTGAGTCAAGGGTCTTGAGATGGGGGATATTATCCCAGATTATCCAGGTGGGCCCAGCATCCTCACATGGGTCCTTGTCAATGAAAGAGGAAACCAGGAAAGTCAGAGCGATCCCATGTGAGAAGGACTCATCCCACTGCTGCTGGCTTTGGAGATGGAGAAAGGGACCGTGGATCCAGCAGTGTGAACAGTCTTTTTTTTTTTTTTTCCCAGATTTTATTTATTTATTTGACAGAGAGAGACACAGCAAGAGAGGGAACACAAGCAGGGGGAGTGGGAGAGGGAGAAGTAGGTTTCCTGTTGAGCAGGGAGTCCGATGCGGGGCTCGATCCCAGGACCCTGGGATTATGATCTGAGCCGAAGGCAGACGCTTAACGACAAAGCCACCCAGGTGCCCCTGAACAGCCTTTTGAAGCTGGAAAAGGCGAGGGGGTGGATTCTCCCCTGGAGCCTCTGAAAGGAGGCTCATACTCAAGAATTCATAGATTCTGACAACCGTTCAAACAAATCCGGATAACAAGGGATGGGTGTATGCTGAACGTTCCCCTGCCCTTCATCGTCACCCCTGATCATTTCCTGAGTGCTGCAGATGGGCTCTCCACAACGCTGAGACAGGGGAGCAACTGAGGCTCAAGAGGTATGGGCTGACCTGAGCTCACCCAGGTGGCTGGCGCCAAACCCAGCTCTCTTGTCTTCCGGCCCCAGGCTCCCAGAGGGAAAACCTGAACATGCTAGCCATGGTCTCTTGCCCCATTTGCCCTAACCAACCATCTCCTTGCATAAGATCCGTCCTCAGGGCTGGGATCAGAGGACCCGAGTCATGAACCTTAAGAAAGCAGAACTGATTCTGACATGCTGCCTGCGTAGCCACTAACCCCCCTGCTGAGTCAGCTGCTGGTACTTCCATGCTTGCAGAGTGGCCACGAGGGATGGGACAAGGCCTGAGCCTCCCCCACCACCCCCAGCCCAGGACTCTCCACAGGGCGAAGCATGAAGCCAAGAGACGCGCCAAAATGACTTTTTCCCACCTGGGGACCCAAAATCATGAGGTGCCAGACTGCCGTAGGGACCCAGATGCGCAAAGGCAGACTTCCATGCCTGCTTTCCTAAGAATAAAATTAGAAATGTCTTCACTGGGCTGACCATGTGCCGTGCCATGCTTTATGTATATTAACTCACGTTATTCCCTAATGATGCCAGGAAGGAGGCATTAAGAGCGCACCCACCTTACAGAGGAGGACATGAGGTGACAGGAGATTCGGAGGCAGAGATGGGCTCCAAACGCTAGAGCAAGCGGCTGTGGAGTCTGTGACCACGTATATCTTTCCTTCTTGGATAGCGCTGGGTAGAATTACCACCTCTCCATTCCACCCAGCAGGGCAAGAAATTCTACTTTCTCGATCCTGTTGTGCCCATCACTGCAAAACTCCAGAAGTTCCAAAAGAGAAGCAAATTAACGGGTTTCCTAATTTTACCGGAAACCAGCCTGTCCCGAGGTCCACAGGCAGCACAAAGTGACAGCCAACTCAGCGGGCGCCTTCCCTGCCTCCCAGACCTGGTCCAGGGGAACAAGGATGAGTTCTGGAATAAGACCTAGGAGCCCAGATCCTTACCCCCCCCCTCCCTTTCTTCTGGTCAGTGGCTGTCATACTTGGATATACTGAGCTCCCCCAGGCTAGGACAACCACCCAACTGCCTTATGACCGGCAAGCTCGGCCCACGCTAAGGGTATGGACACTGATTCCTGCACCTCTACCTTCCTCATGCCCAGCCCTGGGGGAATACCGCCCAAGGAAACCCCCTACCCTAACCACACACATGCGTGCGCACACACGCACGCATGCACACACATGCACGCATATGGGCTTACACACACACATCCAACGTGCGATGCCACCCTAAGACAGGACTAGGATTTTCTGAGTTCAAATCCCAGCTCTTTTGCTTATGAGATATGTGACCTTGGGCAAGTCCCTTTACCTCTCTGATCCTCATTCTCTTCATCTATGAAATGGGGATGATAATCATGGAGCCTTTCTAGGTAGGGCTGTAGGGCGATACTGGATATGAAAGCCTTGGGCTCAGGAAGTGTGCTGTGCTCAATAAAATTGTTGTGCTTGTTCCAGGAGGGAAAGAGAATGGCAGTTGCCTAAGTTCCAGGGAAACCCATGGTGATGGGTCTGGAACATGGGCATTTACTCAGTATATCTTATGGAGATTATCTTGAGGTGAGGAAAGTATTTGTGGATCCAACATCACCTTGTTAACACCATGTTAATGAAAATTTAGACTTAAAATCATGAGAAGGGGAGACCCAAGAGGATACCAAATTTGTGGCAGAGACAACTAGCTGTCCACAAAAATCCATTCTCCCCTTCCACAGCATATAGCAGACATTGGGAGAGAGCCAGCCAGCCAGGAACTCCATTTCTCAGCCTCCTTTGCGACTAGACTGGCCACAGGACTAGTTCTCCCATGTGGCAGAAGGCAGTGAAGAAGCAAACGTGCCACACTTCCATGCTTTCTTTCATTAGGAGCGATGTCCAAGGGGACAGTAGGGACACACATGGAAGAGCACCTCCCCCCATGCAGAAACACCTGCCTTCTCCTAAACGAGTGTTTTGTTTGAGCCATTATACATGTTTGGGGCTATTTGTTACTGCAGCTACTACCCTGACTAATACAACCTTCAACCTCCTTGTTCACAAATGAGATGTTTATGGCCACAGAGTGAGAAGACCTTGCCTAAGCTCACGTAGCAAATTCCACAAAGCTCCAAAAGTTTGGTCTTTTATCAGTCTGGAGTAGATCTGCCATTTTCAACTTGCCCCACCAAGCTCTAAGAGTGAGGTTCTGTGAACGGCGGCCCAGAGTCCTCCACCTCTGTTTCAACTAGAATAACATGCCTTGTATCCATTTTCCAGTCGCCATCCTCCCTATATTTTCATTGGACAAAAGAGTTCTGCTTCTTAAAATAATTCCAAAGCCCACACACTGGGTGACGGCTAGCACACTCTGAATTTCTGTGGTGCTACAAGATAAAGTTTCACTTCTGCACCAGGCCTCCTGGCCTCAACTGCTGACACAGGACATGCAGACTCACAGAAGTACATAGATATTTGCTTAGAAAGGAAAAAAAATCAACCTCTGTGTGCAATAAGCAACCCAGAAACCTGGACAAAAGGCAAACAGAAAAGATGTTCACATCCTCTAGCTCAGCGGCCCTCAAGTTTTGGGGTGCATCCGAACCATCTGGGGAGCTGGCGCCACATGCAGACTCGCACGCCTCGCCCTCGGGGATTCTGATGGCACAAACTGAAGCCTTAGGAAATACTCATGATTATTCGGCATGAATGATATTATTCATGATGGTTCCGATGCCAGCATTCCCACGATAGCACTTTGGGAAGCCCTGAGTCTACTCTGCAGCCTTGAAACTGGCAGGGATTACTGGCAGTAATAATCACGCTCATGCAGTGTAGCTCAAAGCGAGTGAGACAGGCGTTGAGGGGTTTTTTTGTACCCTGATGGGAACCTGAGCATTAATAACCCACTGGTAAAGAAATCAATAATAATTTCTATTTGGCTCGGATGGGTGTCAAAGGTATAGATGGCAGGTGGTATAGGAACAATCAGAGAATCACAGCTAATGTTTCTGGAGCTCCTTACGACACGACAGGCCCTCTGCTAAGTGTTCCACGTGCGTGATCTCATTTAGTCTTTATGATAGTCCCATTTTACAGGTGAGGAAACTGGAGCATACAGATACTTTGTTCCATGTCACTCAACTGGCAGGGGGCAGACCAGGTTCAAACTTACCCAAACGAACTCACTCTGCAGCCACGATGGTCTAGTGCCTCTCGTGGACGTCTAACTTCGGAACCCCTCCCCAGGCCTCAGTCTCCTCATCTGTAAAATGGGCATGTTAATAATATCTCTATCATGCAGCCATGGTGAGGATTCAAGAAAATCATGGCAGTAAAGTGGTTTGCCAACTGAGAGGAGTTAATTAAGGAAACATCTAAGGGATGAGACTTTGTCCGACTCACCCATCCCATTTTACAGATGGCAAAACCAAGGCCTGATTATTTATTCAATGAACATTTACCAAGCACCCACTGAGGATACAGAGAGGAGAGTAAGTACCCCAAGTCTGGCCTCAAGGAGCTCCCAGGCCAGCAGGAGAGACAGATGTGACTGGGAACGGAGACAGGGACCTCTCAGAAGGGGTCAAGCCAGAGAGGGGCGTGACTTGCCCGAAGTCAACTTTACCTATTCCCTGAAGTTTTGGCAGAGTCCAGAGAAGGTCCCTGGGTACCAAGAAAGAACTCCTCCCGTGGGCTTCTCAGTGCCTGACACCCCACCGCCTGAGCATCCCTGGTTTAAGTTAAGCCTTCTTTCTTGAGAAAATGCCAAGTAGCCCTCCTCCCACCACTGGAGTTTGGAGGAAGGAAGAGAGACAGCAAGAACCACAGGGAAGATCACTCTTCGAAAGGAAGCAGGGGCTGCCAATAGGGAGGCTGGGGATCAGGCCTCTTACTGGAAAAAGAAGACAGACCCCAAACCTGGCCACCTCCTCACTGGCCTATCTGAACCACAAGCTGGTCTGAGTGATCACACTTATCTAAAGCAGCAGTTACTGGATTATGATGTGCTGTGTATAACTTCGCTCAAGGCTAGCCTTTACGGTGTACTCATTTAAACGGTAGGACAGTGCCCAGGTGCTAGCCGGAAGCAGAAGGGAGTGCGGGGTATGTTCAACAGCTAGCACTGCCAAAGGGCTCCCATCCTTCCTATATAAAGAACTCTTAAAAATCAACAAAAGATAAACATACCAACAGAAAAAACGTGGGAGTGGATTTGAACAGTAGAATCATAAAAGAAAAATGAACAACGAGTTTGCAAGGGATGATCAGCATTAATAAAGAAATGTAGAGGGAAACAGCCAGACGCCTCACAAACCTTAAGAACAGGCACACTTTTGACTCCGCGATTTGGCCTTTGGAAAAGTATCCATAGGTCAGACATGCAAAGATAATGTGTAAGAGCGGTTCGTCACAGCACATTTGTAATCATGGGGGGGAAAAAAAGGAAGAAGAAGAAGAAGAAGGTGGCAACCACAATGAGGAATGGTTACATAAATCCCAAGATAGCCTTTCCATGCAGCTATTAAAACGTATCCAGGAGGAACAGAGATGGGAGTCCACAGTCTGCAGCGCAAGACAAGGGAGGCTGCCAAACAAGATGTTGGAAGCGGGAGTCCACACCTACATACTTAGATGTGTCTTCTCCATCTGTAGGCACTCAAGAAACATCAGAGATAAACTGGTGGGCGAGCAAGTGTGGGGGCGACGGAGAGAGCCCCCCCAAAAGGCCACCTCTGGGTGAGGACCTCCCCCTGAGGCTCTGTACAGAGATACAGCCCAGGGGCCAAAGCAGTGGGCTGTGAGCTTCGTTCCAACCTCAACCTCCCCTCACCGCCACCCCCCACACCCCCCGGCCTACTGTCTCTGCAGCTCCGAGCTACTGCCTTGCCCTCTCTGAGCCCTGGTTCACTCCCCTGTAAAACGAGGACACCTGGGAGAGGGAAACAACCTGCCTCGTAGCTGTGAGCGTGGGTGGAGTCATGAAGGAAAACACGGAGCTCGCCGCTTTTAAAAATAGGGTGACCCTGCTGCTTTTTACAATTACCATGCATTACTTCGGAAATCTGAAAAATCATGTTTTCATTTTGACCAACATTAAATGTTACACGGAACCACAGGCCTCCTCTCTCTACGAGTATCCCCCTTTCCCGGCCCCTCCAGACGATGTCAAAGCCAAGCGCAATACCTTGTGGCTGGTCTCTGCCTGGGTCTTCCCAAGGGTTCCCCTGGACTTCTGGGGAGTCCTTCAGGCCACTGGAGGCTGTGCAGGGGACCCGTGTGGCCCCACTTCTTTCTCTCGGCCACACTGTGCTCTGGCTGTGGCTGTGTGCCCAGAAGGCAGTCCGTCCATTCATTCAAGATGCTCCGGAACCCGTCGGATTGCAGCCTCCCCCCCAAGAACAGCCTCAGCCCTCAGGAGGCTCTTCGGGAGACCTCGTGCTGTCCTGAGCTCCTCACTCGCTGGGGCTGCTGTCCTGAATGGGACAGAAGTCTGCCAGAGAAACAGCTGGAGGGAGGAGAGAGAGAGAGAGAGAGAGAGAGAGAGAGGCCGGGGGGGGGGGGGGGGGGGGGAAGGGAGGGGCAGGAAACTGGGCTGGCCAAGGGCGGGGGCGGCCAGCTGCGTGGAGCGGGGGCCGCCAGAGGAGGCTACCCCTGCCTGCCAGCCAGGGACCCAGCTTGTGGGTGGTGGCTGGTGGCAAGGCCCGCTGGGGACGACCCGCCCCTCTGGCGGCCGGAGCCCAGCTGGGAGTGGTGCCCACCCCCACTGAGCGCAAACCAGGAGCACGTGCGAGCCCCAGGCAGCTGTGGCAAAGGTGGCCGCTCCCTGCAAGGGCCTCAGGAGCTGCCGGGTATCCCACCAGCCTGGGCCACCTCTCTCCACCGGGGTGCCCGTCCTGGCCCCCTAGTTGTGCTCCCTTTTCCTGATTTTATTTTTTTGCAAATTAAAACAGCAATGAGATTTTTTAATAAAGTATCAAATGAACAAAGATGAAAATGTTTCATAATGTTCGGTTTTAGTAAATGTCACCGGGAAGCAAAAATCTTCTGCATAATTGGAATATACATTGATAGACCATTTCTGGAGAGCTGACAAAATACATCAAAACCTTTAACTACATTCAGGCCCTGTGTTGCTTAAATATAAATCCTGCTTTCATCCCAAACCCTGCTCCCCAGAGAGCAATATCATTAACACTTTGGTATGAACATACACACATATATTCTATAGCTAAATGGAAAATGGCTCAGTCATACTCCGCATCCCATCCTGTAACCTGCTTTCTCCTTCAGTGATGGGGGTGTGCGCGTGTGTGTGTACACACACCTTACCCTGTTTTAACAGCTGCTCATTATTTCATTGAATTGATGCACTGGTTTGTTTATTTATTTATTTAATTATTCATTGAACTTCTGTTTCCCTAATGGATGCAGTTTATTACTTACATAGGCAGCAAGGACTGGTTTATTGAATCGACACTTTCTGGGTGACTGCTTAAGTTCTTTTCAACTTTTTGACTATAATAAACACCCCATTTCACGCTCATCCAATTACTTTCTTATACAAAATTCCTATGAACATATGTTTTATTATTCAGAGGATCGCCTGCTCCCTTTTCAAGTCTCAGCTTGGGGACCACCTCCCCAGAAGCCTTCCCCACCCCCTGCCGCTGGAGGGGGGGCCCTGCTCTCGGTTCCCCACCGGGGTTCCCCTACCATCACAGCGGCAGGGGTGCCCCTTCCTGTTAGAGTCTCTCTCACTCCCTTACCCTGGAAACTCAGCTGGGGAAGGGACTGTACTCTGTCCCCTGCTCTGGCCCCGGGGCGAAGCACGGTGCCAGGCTCGCTGTCCGCGCGATTGCATCACCGGCAGAATAAACACAAGAGCGGACACCCAGACAGGGTGCCGGCCGGCCACTTGCTCCTTCATCCTCAGGAGGTACTATTTCTGCAAAGCCAGTACTATTTCTGCCCTCATTGTACCAATGAGGAAATTGGGACCCAGAAAGGTCAGGTCACTTGCCGTGGGCCACACAGCCCATAGGCAGGAGGGCTGGGATTCCACCCAGACTATCGGGCTCCAGAGCCTGGCCCTCGGCCTCCAGACTGAAGAACTAACCGAAGGGCCCACTGTGTGCATCGCCCCGTGCCGGGGGGGGGGGGGGCTTCCCACGGAATGAGTCACGTGACCCTCCCCCACATCAGAGGAGGTGTCCTTCACCTGTTCTACAGATGAGGGGAGACGTTCTTTTGCCAAGGGCACCCAGATGGGGCCGACAGAGGCCCGACTGAACCCAGGTCTGGTTCATTCCAAAGCTAAGGCTGCCCACAGTAGCTTGTGTAGAGAGGAAGGGGGGGGGGGGAAAAAAGGGGGGGGGGGGAGAGAGAGAGAGAGAGAGAGGGAGAGGAGGGTGGGCGAAGAAGGGAGAAGAGAAAATGGAGGGGGGATGGGGGGAGGGTCACTTGCTCTTCTTTAGACCTAAGGGCTTGGGTGGGTGTGGGAACATGTCCTTCACCATCTGACCAGCCTTAGAACCTCTCCTTTTCCCCACCATCCTCAACTGTTAGTCCAGTGAGATGGACACTTAGAAACTATCATCTCTTTCATTTCCTAGATACTAACTGGAAGCACAGAGAGGTTAAGTCACTGCCCGAGGTCACACAGCTCCCTAGAGTCAGAAGTCATACCCAGCCTGACTCTAAAGCTCTCTCCTCCCCACGCTGCCAGCCTTGCCCAGGGGACCAAGAGCATCTCATCCATGCCCTTACTGTACAGATGGGAACACTGGACCCAGAGAAGGCAAGGGACATCCCAGGGCACCGTTAGCAGCCGGACAGCAGCCCCAGAGCATCCTGGTCCAAAGGTGAGGATATTTCCACAATGCGATAGAAACCCTGCGCATCATGAACATCACCATCTAAATGTCTGTCATTAACTGAGACCAGTGGTTCTCAAAGTGCGGGTTCTGGACCAGCCGCTGACACCTTGCTGGGGAGCTTCTTAGAAATTCAAGCTCTTAAGCCAGGTCCGTCTACAGACCTTGGGAACCAGACCTCTGCAGGCGGGGCCCGGTGAGCTGTGTGTTCAAAAGTCGCCAGGGGATTCTGATGCTCGCTCAAGTTTGAAAGCCACAGATACAGACATTTCCATTAGGAATAAATCCTGGATCCTGGAACAAATTGCCTTGTCAGTCCACGGAATAGTGGTCAAGAGCTGGGGGCTCTGACATCAGACAGAGTCGATTTGACCGAATCCCTGTCTCCGCTACTGTGAGCTGTGTGACTGATGACTGAGGCAAGTCCTCCCGCCTCTCTGAGCCAGTTTCCTTGTCTGCCAGGGGCTGAGGGGGACTGTAGTGGGGGAGGGGGGGAGGAGGGGGGAGGGGAGGAGGGGGAAGGAAGAGGAGGGGAGGAGGGACAGGAGACAGAGAGGTAAGCTCTGAGGAAGGTCTTGCACACTCGGGATATCCTGGAAGGGGAGACTAGCGAGGTAAATCCAGCGTCTAGATGGACTTATGGAGATTTCCTCTTCCTCCTTCATTGGATGTTGGATACCATTAATGCAGGTCTCCTGGAGGCCCCCCACCCCACTCCCAGCCTCCAAAGCCAACCCAAGACTGTAATGAGGTTTGGGTTTTATCAGCTAGGAGATCTGACAGAGTGAGGACTCCAGGCCCCAGGCCAGCAGGGCCCCTGGATTGCCCAAGGTCGAGGTCAGAGCACACAGCCCCAGTGAGGAAGAGCAAGAATCCGGCTGCCCCAGCCAATCAAAAGCCAGAGGTCTTTGGTCACCATTCTGAACATGGCTGAGAAGTTTGGCTTTTTCTTCCTTGGAATAAAAGGCTTGCAGGTGGGGTGGGAAAGTTGTTTGTTGTTGTTTTCAAATAGGATTCTGAAACCTGAGGCCTAACACTGGAATACTGGGACCTGCAAGAGAGGTGGTGGCAAAGAAGACTCTTGTTTATTCCCTCGAGAATGCTATGTAGTTCCAAGATGGCGAATCAAGCTTTCTCTTATACCCAAATCTAGCTGGTTGGCTCTGGAACCCTGGAGCTCTGTGTTAAAGGAAATCTGAGGCCGCATCCAGGTCGGGCTGGAAAGAGCACAGCGACCCATGAGCAATGCCTGCCTTGGACCTAAAGGAGGAGCCTTGCCTCTCTCTTTCCACTCTGTCCTCCAACAAAAGTCCAACCCATTGGCCTAGGAGGCTGGGGGGCCGGTGCCAGCTCTGCTTCATCCTGTACCATGGATTGGCCAACCCTAGTGTACATAAACTTATAACTCCCACACCCCTTGGTATATGTCTGGATATATATGGTATATCAGTGTTTACGGATCCCCAACACTCTGGTTAAAGCAAATGGTTCCCTCATTCTCCCTGATTATCAGTTGCGAAACTAGGTTCACCAGAGAGGCTCTTAAACCACAGGAAGCCTGGGAAGATACTTTCTGTGACATGAAGGATTCCCTATAAATCCAAACTGTGCCCACTTCGGACTTGGTTTAAGATGTGGACAGACTGCACTGGAATGAGAGCTTCATTTCAGCCGCTGACCGGCTGTGCGGCCTTGGGCAAGTCATTTCTCATCTCTGGTTCATTCGATGCTCATGTGATTAAGTTATGGATGTGATGAAATTGTGCCTCTTGAGATGGGGAAATTATCCCGGATTATCCAGGTGAGCCCAGGATAATCCAAGGGTCCTCAGAAGGGGAAGGCAAGGACTTGGGGGCGGTGGGGGCAGAAGGCAGTAGGATGAGGAAGGAAGCAGACATTTGTGATGTGGCCATAAGTGAAGGAAGACAAACAGCCTCCACCCTTGGAAGGTGCAAGGAATGGATTCTCCCTGAAGCCTCCAGCAGGAACCAGCCTTGCCGACGACGTCCTGATGTTAGCCCCTTCAGACTCATTTTGGACTTCTCAGCTCCAGAACTGTAGGACTGTAAATATGTATTGTTTTAAGCCACAATATTTGTGATTTGTAGAGCAGAAGTAGGAAATTAACACAAGGGCTGTTCTAGAGACCAGAACACTGGCCTTGGTGGCAGACAGATCTGGGTTTGAGTCCCTGCTCCACCTGCTAGCTGTGTAACCTTGCAGAATTTCCTAACCTCTCTGAGTCTCAGAGAGGGAAACTTTCTTTCTCCTCCGCGCACAACAGTAACAAAAGACCTACCTCAAACCATTGTTGGAAAGATGAAAGAAGTTGACAACCACAGCGTGCTCGGAACAGAGTCTGGCACACTGCACTCAATGAACGTTGGATCACTTTCCTGTCCTGTGGGGCATTAAAAGGTCGGCATTCCCCAATGCAGGCCCTCTAACCATCCCTGGGGCACTACTAGAGGCACCTTCCTGATGTTCCATTGTGTTCAAGGTGACACCACTGCTCAACAACATTCCATGGCTCCCTAGTACATAACCTCATCTGCCAGGAAGGAAAAAGTTAAAGGGCTGGCAAAGCTGAAAGAGGGGCTGGAGGACCCAAACCTTCCCAGGTTGACTGAAATGTCACTTTCT